CATTCTATGTTACACTCATCCATGTTCCAGGGCTGTGGCATTCTAGGTTACACTCGTCCATGTTCCAGGACTTTGGCATTCTATGTTACACTCATCCATGTTCCAGGGCTGTGGCATTCTATGTTACACTCAGCCATGTTCCAGGACTTTAGCATTCTATGTTCCAGGGCTTGGGAACTCTACTAAACATGCACTCGATCATTCATGCCCCAAGCTTTTGAAATTCTAAGTTACATTCATCCATGTTCCTGGGCTTTGGCATTCTAGGTTACATTCATCCATGTTCCTGGGCTATGGCAAACTACACTACATGCACTCATCCATGTTCCAGGGCTGCATGTGGCATTCTAAAGTAAACTTGTCAATGTTCGAGGGCTGTGGCATTCTAGGTTACACTCGTCCATGTTCCAGGGCTTTGGCATTCTACAGTACACTCACCTATGTTCAAGGGCTTTAGCATTCTATGTTACAATCATCCATGTTCCAGGGCTTTGGCATTCTATGTTTTGCAATGCACCATTCACTTTATGGACATACATACGTCTCATTGTTTCAAATATACGGTGATGTGAGAATTATTTACTGTCAACCATAACATCACAAACAATTAAGACAGTTAGCAAACATTCTCAAGCAGCTAAGAAGAAATTACACCTCACCTTTGTTTTCTTTGCCAATGTCTTTAAAATTATCCCAAAAACTACTGTTTTTACCTCTTCCTTTTAATGAAAAGTTACTTTTCTTTGACCTCTTCAATGAACAATCTACAAAAAAAAAAATATTAAAGAAAGTTTGAAAAAACTTGCATGCAGTGAAGGTTTCAAATTCATTGAAAATTTAAAATTAGCCTTTTAAGCAAGGAACCTACTGGCTATTACAGATCTTCACTATGAATGAACCCTTATTTTGGAAGTTTATAATACTAACTTCATAAACTTTATAAATATTTAAAGAAAAAAACTTGATCTGTGGTTTGCAGAATGTGGTTTATCCCAGAGGAGCTATGTATCAAGTTTTTATGAAAATCTGATGCGTAGTAATTGAGATATCTATGGAAAAGCTAAAGAAAGCTGATTATCATGCAAATAAGATCATCAATATGCACAGATTGTTACTAAAAACTAATCAGGTCTGTAACTTGCCCAAATTGTGTATCAGAGTTCACTGAAATCTGTCAAGCAGTTCCAAAGATATCTCTGAAACAGAATTACAAACATACACAGACAATAAACCACAAAAACTCTCATGATGTGCTTTGCTCACCGGAGTTGAACAAAAAAAATGTCCTCCGTTGCTATGACAAAGAAATAATGATCAGTAATAGTAATACTGGGAAATTAACAAATAAGAAAGTGCCCACTTGAAAGGAAATTAAGAATCAATTGTTGACCATGGTGAGCTTCTTTTTTTTCATAAAAGAAATTTTCTGTATAGCAGATGATTGTTTGTAGATTGCAGCTAGACTGTCTAAAAGTACCAATGATAATGAATGGAACAATATCTGCATGGCTTTTTCTGCTTTTGCTCTAAAGTTTTACATTCTATAGAGACTGTGCTTGTGAAAACTACACTCATCATTTCCACAACCATGGCAACATGACAGGCATTGAGAAAAACATCATCTGACAAAGATAGAAGCAGTGCTTTTGTTAGCACACTAAGTAGTGGCTGAATTCGCTACTGTTTGATAGCTCAGTCCTTGACTGCTTTCTTTTTACAACGGGTCGAATAGTACTTGAAGTATACTTAAAGTACACTTAGTGTTTTTTTTTTCAAAATTTGAGAAGACTTTTGCGCATTCAAGCTTCATGTACAGTTTGGATATTTTTCACCCATGTGTACTTGAAAGCAATGTAAGTTTATAAGATTCTTAGCCCCTGGTTTAGAAATCTCTTTGAGCCTGTGACTTATTCGTGCAGCCGAGATTTAACTGCAACCTTATTGAACTTCATAACCCATGTCATTAATTCAGAAATCAATAATTGCTCCATCATTAATACTCATAAAATAATATGCAACATTTGGCAAATTTTTCACAGTTTTTTTTTTTTTTTTTTTAAATTCTTGTTTTGTTTTGATTAAAAATTTTGAAACAAATTATGTGGGTTTATTTTTTATAAAAGGCGACTTCAGTGTTCAAAGAGTTAATTGGAACCATTATGATCACTGCTTTTAACCAAATTTTAAAACTAAAATACCATCATTACACTTTAAACACTGCCACAATTAGATATTCACCTCAATTAACCCCTGAAACTCACTTGTCACAGTTTCCACGATAAAAATAATTCCATTTTATTGAACGCTTCAGCAGAGCAATAAAAATGAGGCTGGATTGAAGTCAGGGTTCATCACACGGTTTAACTTAAAGAGTTCATAAAAATCACTGTCTCATTGCAAAATTCACATCAATAAACTTGTTCACACCTACAGAGTTGCATTCACATTTAGTTCTATCGTAACTGAACATCTTGTCTCAATTGCCAAGCTTATACCTTGGTAAATCTATCACTTGGATACAGTTTCCGTGCCAGGCAACACTTTTCCCCCCTGGCAACCAGAACATACGTTCAGATGTTTTTCATGATTCCTGTTGTACATTAATCCCCTATTGAGTATTAAATCCACATATGATGTTACAGGTGGGGGATATCTCACCGATAATCACAAAATTATCGATAAATACAGTTTCGTATTACAATTTTTCGCAGTTATTTGTGTGAGTAATTCACCATTTTCTGTTAGCCTCGTCTATATATTTTTTCCAAGTTTCGAGGTCTTCAATTTTAATATTGCCACGTGATATCTACAATACCACTTTAAATACGTATATGAAACCCACGTGCATGTCAGAAAAATGGTGAAATGAAAAGAAACTGCATTTAGTTTTATCAGCATTTTGTGTGATTGATGAGTTTGAAGTGGGCCATACAAGTTTTCATCTGAGAGCATAATCTATCGCCCACATAGCATATAATAATCTATTTCAAACTGAAATATATACATATTTTTTTGTTTCTTTTTTCCATTATCTTGAGTTTCATTTTTTTTTATTTTACATTATTTAAAGAGTTTTGCATTCTTTTTTTACCCCTAGAGTCGAGTGTATTAAACTCTGTAACATGGTAATATAAACATGTTTTTCTTAAAAATTTGGCAAAAACAAGTATATATCTGTTGACAAATAAAAATTTGGAATTTGTTCATCAAACTGCAGGAATTTCGTTAAGAGCCGGCCATATGGCCTGCTACAAGCCCAAAGTGGCCATCTACTCTCTGCCCCCCCGACCGCCTACGCTGGTCTCGCTCCAGCGCTTCGAACTGTGGAGAGCCTTTTTATTTTATTTTTGGCCTGTTGTTACAGGATGATGGTCTGCTATTAAATACATTTGTGAAACCCCTGAACTGTACTGATTAAGTGTAAAAGACAAAAAGCACTCAATATACTTATACACATGTACAAGGCCTCACAAACTGAGAAATCCTGTTCAACTACATGAAAATAACAATTCCCAGAATGGTTTCTATTCATTGTTATATTTTAAGTTTGACGCACTTTTGAAATTTGAAATGTACATTCCTTTATGATTGTAATAAAGAAATATCTATCTTATATTGAAAAAAAAATCACATGCACCAGCCATATACCCCAATGCAATGGGGTTTAAAGAGAGGATAAACTCCCATGGCAACAAAGATTCATCATGATGACTAAGACTGTTTTTCTCTTGATGTTCTCCAACACAAAGAATAGCATAGAACAGCATCGTTATTTCTCTTGTTCAGAAAAGTACATTTTATTATTATGGTTAAAAATGCTGGTAGTAAATCATAAATACTATTAAATTTGAAAAATTGGTGGTATAAACAATAAGACAATGTACATTGTAATATGCCCTCTCTGGTTAAAAAGAACAACTGATTTTACCTGTACTTGTATAATAGAAGAGTATAGTTGCCTGCATGCGAAAGATGTGTCAAATATTTACATTATGATATTTTCTCTTAGAAGTTAAATCAAAAAATTTACAGATAAAAATTATCTAAAATTCAAACTGTGGTGCAGTTTCTAAATCCCCCAAACCAATTAAAACCAACCAAAAGTGGACAATTTTTTTACCTTTAAGCGGATTCATAGTTTCCATTTTTTTTTTTAATTGGATGCTATACAATCTGTGTATATACATGTACATGTGCCAATAAGATATATGTATCCCGAACACATCATCTAAGCAGACCATGCTGTACAGTTTATTTTGAATGAAATGCAAGCATTTATAGATTCCTGTATTGAGTAGATTGTATAAAATCCTCCATCAATCGTCCATAACCTGCAGGCTTCTTTTTTTTTTCTTCTTCTTCTATCACCCTGGTTACGCCAATATAACTACTGATTGGAAGCTGTATGGTTTAGAATATTCATTTTTCAGGAAAGATGAATTTCATGGATTTTGTTGAAATCAAGAATCTGGTGAAAAGTTTATTCAAGCTTATGTACAGCTTCTTGTAACACATGACAGGGATTGAAGTCCAAGACTCTTGCCTCAGAGCGACCATTCTCATAATAAGCAGTCCAAAAGAAATGAACAAATCTGAGAGAGATTCACAAGAAGTCGAAAATATCACTTTTTACCAAAATATTCACCAAAATTAGGAATTTAGATATCATCACGAAATGAACAAATCTCAGAAAGGTCCACATGTAGCATCCATATATGTAATATCAAATCAATTGGATTGCGGTTTTTAATAAGAAGTCAAAAATATCACTATTTACCAAAAATGACAAAAATATTCACCCAAATTAGAGAATTGAAGATATCATCATGAAATGAACAAATCTAAGAGAGGTCTACCTCAGGTACATATTCACAAAGTATCAAAGCATTCAGGCTTGTAGTTTTCAAGAAGAAGTCGAAAAAGTAAAACACTGACATGGACGACGACGGACAATCACTCATGTGATAAGCTCCGCTCGACATAGTCGACAGCGGAGCTAAAAATGAAATATTATTATTACTAAACATGTTACCATGACTACCCAATATCACCATGGAACTACGAGATTTCAAAACTGGTAGTCCAGCAGACTTGCAAGAAATTTGTTTAAATTTAGGTCCGTATGGTTGTGGATTAGTATCGCATGGGCCACGTCATGTTTGGTGTGGGACTCAGCGACGTACGGAACATGTTCAGTAAGGGACTCATAGCAACGTACGCAACATGTTCAGTAAGGGACTCATAGCGACGTACGCAACATGTTCAGTAAGGGACTCATAGCGACGTACGCAACATGTTCAGTAAGGGACTCATAGCAACGTACGCAACATGTTCAGTAAGGGACTCATAGCGACGTACGCAACATGTTCAGTAAGGGACTCATATCGACATACGCAACTTGTTCGGTATGGGACTCATAGCGGCGTACGTATGCAACATGTGTAAAATACAGTGTTTGTTTACATGAATTTCAAACACTGTCAGCGCCACGACCATTGCCCTTCAATTTTGATACAAATTGACAATAATTCTCATTGGCAACAGATCCTGACAAAACTTTTTAAATATATATGGGTAAAAAAAAAGATGTGAGTTTATTTTGTGAATCTCGACTGCTGGTCACAAGCGTTAATTAAAGAAACAGATGTTTTTTACTACATTCATATAAATCATTTTTTTTTTCTCACCAGGAGACAGTTTCAAGCAGTGGTTGTCTCCCCTGACAATTTTTTTATGTACAAATTGCCAGTATTGACGTACATAT